TTAGGAATCAAGACAATTCAGTGGCCATTTAGCAACTGGTTTCCCTTTCAGTGGCTTTTGAGGGTATCTAACAACTCTCAACTGGCCATCACAGGTTTCTAAAGGAATCTCTGTCTTCAGGGAAGGAGTCAGGGCTTTGAACACTGAAGAAGATTTTTTCTTGAAGAACTACAGCAAAACTGCTCCTTGTTGAGACAGGAGGAGAGGTGGGAGTGGAGAGATCTCCTACCTGAATTGGTATCCCAAGTTGAGCTCTGGGACGAATGGTTTGTCTATGAAAACTGTGGTGCCAATGCCTTCAGCCAGGACCGGGAAGGTGATCCAAAGACTGTTCCCAATGAACACTTGGATATTGTCACCAAAATGCCCAGTGTCATCCATGGTGGCTGTGATAGTCACAGGAATCTTGCCCCTAGCAGGGATCACTCCTTCTCTGGGTTCAAAAACATACCAGTGGGGTTTGCAAGCCTGTAAGACAAGCATAATATGCATTTAGGATGGAAACTATACACCCTGGTCTCTTGTGGGACATAAGAAAGAAAAGGAAAGACTAAAGGGGGGACGATAAAAATCATAAAGCCTTAATTTCTCTAAATTTAAGCTACAGTATCAGGCAACAGCAGAGCTTATACAACCTGTATTTTCCTCTCCTTTAACGGACTTACCTAATTAACCCAGTTTTGGCCAACCCAAGGGATGCTTATCCTCAGGAAAGTATTCCTTCCCTTGTCTTTCTCTGGAGTATGTGTCAAGGAAAGCTGCTTTCTCTCTCCTGGCTTCTCACAAAGGCTCAAGGCCAGAGGAAGCCAGGACTGCTCAAATGCCATTCCAGAAACCACACAGCTGGAGGACACTGCTGAGAGCCTGAAGAATAAGCCTGCAAAGCCAGCTGAGCAATACCCCAACACCAGACTATTCTTTCCCGAGGGGCCATCAGTGCTTCTCAACATCCCCTAAAGGACTGAAGCCCTCACTTCCCACTGATCATCAGCTGTAGAGAGGTGCCCCAGTGCCCTCTGCTTTGGAAAAGTCACCTCTAAATGGCACCTCTAAATAGCAGAGCAGGAAAGCAGGAAGCAGAAAAAAACCAAAAACCTGCAAGACATGCCCTCTAAGCATGGCATGGCCTTCCCAAGCCCCTCGTCCTCTGGTTTCTCATGGACCTCCCTCTACAGATGGGGCAAGAGAGCAGGAAGCTGCCCCGGGGAGGGGGAAAGGCCTTGCAGCAGCACAGCTGCACAAACACAGCTCTGCAGGTCCAGCCCTGGTACGAGCATGTGAAACCCATCCTTTACATGCCAGGCCCAGCCAGCCAAGGTGCATTGCTCCCTGCAGAGGCTGAAAGCAGAATTTCATTGTGGAGTCAGAGAAAGCTGTCCTGGAAAAATCCCTCACTTTAAGGCTGCATTGTCCTCCAATAGCTGGAAAAGCAGCAAGAGGAAAAGTTCACGCCCCTCTTCCTTGGCTCAGGAGGCTGAGTCTGGACTCTCCCACATGGTCTGATGCTTTATCCAGGGACACAAACAAGTCCATAGTATCAGGTTTTAACCAGCTCCACAAGTTCAACACATCCAACATGAAGAAGAACAAATCTCAAACCCCTCATAGATCTCCTCCTCCAGCAGGCATCTCACCCAGCCCCAGTCTACAAGCCCTTCCTGGCTGCACCAGCCCTGCTCCCCATGCCAGGGGAGCAACACCAGCTCCTTCTGCCCTATGCAGCCTCCACATACTAAGCAGCCTTTCTCTGCAGCTGGTACCCAAAGATGCTCTTCAACGGCACAGAGATCAGAGGCTGTGGGGGTGCACAACCCCCATACATGTCTTTGTGTGAATGAGCAGTCTGAGGACAGACCCTGCACCCTGCTCTTTACTATTAACAGCAGTTTGGAACAAAGCAAATGTAGATGAAGCAAGGAAACCATAGGGAAATCCATGCTCTCTGGGGAGCCAAGGACCACAGGTTTCTCCTGATCTCAGAGCTCCAAAAATGTGATAAGCACAGCTAAAGACTTTTCATAAAATTAAAGAACTTGTCAACACAATCCAGACTAATTTCTGCTTCAATATCTTTGTACCTCATTTCACTGAGGGGTGCCCCAGATAAAACCTCCAGAGCCAGGCTCTTCTTGCCTCGCTCAGATGGAATATTGGAGTATCTTGCCTCCTCTCACACAGGGTGATATTGAAATCTTGCATATAAAAACCAAGTCATGGCTACTACTGACCCGTCAATTTTCCTGGAAAACAGCTCCACAGATACTTACTGCCTGTATCCTGAAGTCTACAGGGGATAAACCTTCATTGTAGAGGGTAAAACATTTTGAATAAGACTGTAGTACTGGGATCTTGCCAAAGTCTATCACTTCTGGAAGTTGGTAGATGTCTGCCAGCCGTCCAGTGCTCTGTAATACTACACTCTGTTCCAGGAAGCAAGCAAGAAAGATTTAAAAAAACCAACAAAACAACAAAATAAACCAAAACAGAGAAACCTAAAAAAGCTTAAACAGCTCAACCTCACTGAAGTTATTTCTTTAAGGACAGCTACCACTCTCCAGCTGAAATGCTGGGCTTTTGAAAAAAAATAAAAAAAAAAAAGAATTAACATGTTCATCTCCAAATTAAAAAGAATTAAGGCAAGAGAAACTTTCAAACTACAAATTATTGGCCCAAAGGTAAAAGCTTTGCAAGAAATCTCTAGTTAAGACCAGACTCTCTATTTAGGACCAGGCCACAGTTAAACAGCGGGTTATTCTGGTGGGGAGAAACCCTCCTCTTTAAGGTAAGTAGCCTGATAGTTGAAAGCAACTGTTTTGTCAAACTTCAGATTCCCTGGCACAGCCGGCACTGCCTGTCCTTCCTGTTGACTGATTTACATGCAGTGCCACAATGGCCCAGGTTCAGATGTTTGGTGTCATCCAGGGAATTTGGCATCATCGTTTTCATGTTTTAATATAAATTTAAATCCTTTCAACTACTCTTCAAATGCCAGCTTTCCTTTCTTTTACAGAAAACTCAAGGTTCCCTGAAGTCTTCTGACGTCCTCTTTTGTGTTCAGAGAGATGACAAGACATTTTAAAACAGATGTTTCCAAAGTTAACAGCATTTTAAAGATTAATTAACTGTTTTTATCCTCAATTCCAGCTTAGATGAACTACATTCTGTGTCAGACACTGAGATTACCAGCTGTAAGGCATGAGCTGTTTACACCACCAATCCCTTCTGGCCTCCACAGCAGCCTGTGCCTGTTTTCCCCAGAAGAATCCCTGTACACTTTGCACCCTGGCAGGACGAGTTGCACAAAGGCACACATCTCCCCTCGCACTCACCCGTGGGTTTCTCTCATCCCCGAACACGCCGATAACAATACGGGTGCGATGCTCGCCCAATTTTTGGACTTCGATTACGACTGGAATCTCTGCAGTGCTGTGAGGCTGGACAATCCCACAGGGCTGGGGGCTGGAGTAGAACACAGGAGTGTCCTCCATGCGTTTCTAGAAGGGACAGAATCAAATGCAATTTCAGAGAGACCTCTGAAGAAACTTTATAAACTCCTTAACATCCACCATAACAGCAACTGACACACATTTTTAAAAATCCCCAGGACAAAGGTAAAAGGCACAAACAAGGTGCAAGAATTGTAGGCTTAGCATTCTCAGGGGGTCTTACAAGGAGGCTTTCAACACAGCTGTGGGTGTATATATATGGGTGTATATATATGGTTATATATATAGGTGTATACATATGGGGCAGCAGCTTTTCATAACCCTCTAAGATCTCCCATAAGAAAACACCCTGAAGACTAGAACATAAACTGTTTCCTTGGGAGGTTACACTGCATCCTAAAGTTTACATTCGTGTAGGATCCTGTTCTCAGCAGATGTTTAAGACTGAATAGAAACCACCAAGGTCTTACCCAAATCCTTTTTTCCCCTAATAATTTATTTAATAATATTTGCAAGGAGGAGGTGGATACGATGCCACACCTGAGGAATAAGTGCGTAGCAGCCAGGAACTTCGCTGAAATTCCTAACAGGTAACTTGGTCTTGTGTGGCATCTTCAGGTGGCACTGAGAGTACAGCGGCAAGTCATAGTTAACTTCCAGGTCAGGAACAATGCATCTGGGCAAAGAGATGACCCCAAGAGAATCAGAGATACTGAGGGAACGGAGAACGTTTACCCCCGAAGATTGTGAAATGGAGCATAATACATTTGTCACTGTCAAACAGACATTTAACAGCCCTACAGTGATCAATTGCCTTCAAAGTCTTCCCACTCAAACATGTCTTGTCAAGGAGGGGCAAACCCTGAGAGGCAGCAGCCAGAGGCTGCCAAGTGCCCTAGGCAGAGCACTTTGTCCCACAGCTGCCTCAGCCCCTCCTTTACCCAAGAAGGCTTGCAAGGACTCCTGTAACAGTCCCAGTGATCCATGAGCTCTGAGGGAGCCTTCCCAAAAAGGATCAGTGCTCACTAAGGCTCAAGGAACACACAACTAGTGTGTCAGTAGAAATGACTCCCTTCTCTCCCATGGCACTGTTGCCCTGCCTGAGAACTCAGCTGTTTGCCCCAGCCTTGGAGGGCTCGGCACACCACCTGCCCTACAGAGTGGGTGATCACCCCCTCCCAGTTCCTACAGCTCTCTCAGTCCTTCACAGGTCCATGCACTGCCTGTCCCCAATTTTACACCTGCTTAACGAAACTGCAGCCCAGGCACTGACTGGATGGCTCTGCCTGGGAGAGGAACAGCACCAGGGAACTGCATCTCTCTTGTCATTCTACTGATGCCCACAGCAGCACAGCAGGATAGAATTTGGCTGCAGCAAGAACAACTTTTGGTTTAAGTCTGAGAACATTAAAGCTTCAACATGGGAAGCAGAGGGAAGGAGAAAAACGAGAGCTGGCCTGCCACATCAAGGGCTGTTTATCCCTCGTAAGATCTTGCCCTCACCACTCTTGCTGTGAGCCACTTCCCCGCTGTCACGTGCCCTCATGAACAGAAGCAGACCCTGACTCTCAGCAGCTGCTTGGTGTGTCCCAAAGCAATGCAGGGTGGTTGCAAGCCAGCACAACTCCACCTCTTGCAGGAAGAAGGAGAGGAGGCCCTCGGGAAATTTGTTGCACCTCAAGCACCAAAAACCAGGCCAAGAAATTATATCATTCCTGGTCCCTTTAGAAAAAGGCCCAGGACCGTGCTGGGCTGTGAGCAGCGGTGCTTTTCACCACAGGCTGCTTTCCAAGCACTGCTGTTCTCACATGCAGCTGGGCAGAACATGAGGCCATTAAACAACACTTCTCCATGGGAGCTGAGCCAGCAAGCCCTGGTCAAGGCAGTGTGCTGGGGGAGGCCAGGGAAGTGCTGGTACCTGGCCAGGATGGTCAGTGATGCCACTTCAGTGCCAAAATCCTCCAGGTCCACCAGCATTCTCCGGCAGAAGTCCATCACGGTGTTGGAACACAGGGTCACCTGGTGGAAGAGAAGAGCAGTGAATTCTTCCTTTAAAAAGCTCATTACCCACATGTGATATTCTCCAGTTCTTGTTCCATGATAAGGAAAGGGAGGATTTAGCCTTAATTTTTCTGCTGGTCCATGTGTAGAGCACAGTCTTTGGGAGTTACAAAAGCCTTCTGGCAATACCAGATTTGATCAACACACCTTGCTATCAGGGCATAGGTCAGCTAAATTAAAACATTAGACAAAAGCTCACTGTATTCAAATTAAGGGGCCAATTTTTCATCTGACTACAATGACATAAATGCAGAGGAAATCTGCTGACTTGAACAGACTGAGCAGGTGCTGGGCAGTTCATGGCTGCAGAGTTTTTGTCTCTTCTGGAGATCCCTGCAGGGAACACAAATCATTCTGCTCCCCAGGACAGCAGAAGCCAAACCAAGAACAAAAGGAAACTGCTTTATACAATGGCATCTCTCTAGCTGCCACCCTCTGTCCTCATCCTTCCTCTGCCCACCTGCAATCGAAGAAATTGCTCTCAAAAACACAAGAACAGCTGCAGTACTTGACCATCTGGTACAAGATTTCAGCTTGTGATTTTGGAAACAAAACCGTGCTCCTTAAGGAATATCCCAGGTAACAGCTAGCAGAGGCCTCTGGCCAGTGCAGATCTCTCCCTCACACGATGCTCAAAGCTGGCAGCAGAGCTAAAGCCCTCCCACACTGCAGTGAAGCTTCAGCCCTGGTGCTGAAGCACGTATTGCTGGACTCTTCCCATACCTCGATATCCTGGTGTCCCTGGGGAGGGATGGTCCCTTGTTTGGGATTCATTGTAAACTCCCTTGGCTCCACATAAAAATGAATTCCTTCTGTCCAGGATGGGTCGCTGTCGTTGCGTATTTGATCAAAGCTTCTAACAGGAGGCTGCATGCCGTCGTCAGACATGCGGAGCTTGAACCTCAGGGGCACTAGGGAGGGGTTAATGAGGCAACAGGTCTTGGTGTAGGCAAAACCTAGGAAAAGGACACGAATATCCATTTAGGCACCAATTATGTCATGACTCTTGGTGGGAATATCCTGGTAGGATAAAAGTGTGATTGGGGTTTAGCTCCTTATTATCTGAACCACAGCTCACCAAAGAAGCTGCATGAGAAATTAATTGTCACTTAGTTCTCTTTGACACTGATTGCAGACTGCAGTCTTGAAAATGCCCAGTCTTAGCCCTGCTGAACACTGCAAGCTTCTCTCTTTCTGATGGAGAGGAGCTCCCTCACCTGCCTGTAAGAGATGGTTCAAAGTTTCCCTCATCTTTTTTTGCCTCACGACCGTTGCAAGAAGACCCTGAGGACCCCCACCCTGGTCAGCTTTGGACAGTGGTTTCCTGGCCTGGTCATGGTGAATGCTTGCCAAATGACTGTTTGCAGGTGTCTTGTGCTCACTGGACCTGCTGTCATGGTACTGAAAACTGCATGTACTGCACATCTGCACCTGCCTCTCGGAGCACCTCACAAGGGCCCATAAATCTTCCCACCTCTTGGCCAGAAGCCACTCGCTTTGGAAAAGGACTGTAAAAAAGCAACCCTCTGGAGAAGCTTTTGAGATCTCCCCACGGATGAAGACCCGTCCATTGGCTGGCCCACAAGGACATGTCT